TAATAAAAATAATAAATAAAATAAATAAACTACAAAAATATGTTATTAAACAAAAATATAATCTTATTCACACAATACTTTCATATGTAAATAATTTATTTGAAGTGTAAATATTAAACATATTTTCAAATTTAATTTTCTTTGCAGGGATTGTACGTCTAACACATCCTTAATAAATATACAATAAAGGAGCATATAGCCACAGCTAAAGATGTTTTTTTTAGAAATAAAGTAATATATTTCAAATTAATACGTTGACATATAATATTTGTAGACGTTTCGGTTAAGATTTGACCATCATCAGTACAGAACGTCAGTGTTGCAATTAAATTAACAATGGAAGTCTTCTACGTATGTCATTGCTTCGATGTTAAACATCCTTAATAACTTTCGTGTTATTATATTAATGATTGATAATAACAATTGCAATTTCCTGATGCAGATAAAAGAAGAGGGGGCATGCAAAAAATTTAACTTTTTATTTGTTCTCTTCGCAAAATTTATTATTTGTTTGACGTAAAAAATATGAAGAAAAATAAGACCACACGCACGCGTTTGTGACATTTCTATACCACTCACGTCTTAAGCAGGTTCTTTTATCTCGCGCATATAAATACGAGTTTTAATGTGAAGTATATTACACATTATATAAACACATCGGATGAATCGAAAAAAACTTGTATGTTAGGCACACACCACGTCATTGGTTAATCATAAAATCCATCGATAAACCGCATTTTTATAACAAGCCACAAAAACACTATAAATGCATTGCATAATACATTAAACATATGATGCGCGAGTTGGATGAAAAACGACCCTCGGAGAAGGAAAATAGGAATTTTTAATTGTAAAAATTGCAAAAGAAAGAAGTGACAAATGAAGGATATAAATAAACGAAAATTTACGAAACTTGAATTTTTTACTTCGAGAAAATGATATATATATACCATATATATGATTATATATATATATAAATTACATATATAAAAAAAATTATATATATAAAGTTAGTTTTTGCTTTTCCGAAGTTAAAGATTCGAGTTTCACAAATTTTCATTTATTTATATATTGATATAAAATTTTTACATCTTTTATTTCAATGTTAGATTAAGCGCAATATACAGGCGAAAACGCTTTTAGGATTAATCTAACATTGAAATAAAAAATAAAATTCAATAATTTGATTTACTATCAGAAAGATCATAAGTCGAATTTCCATATAAGAGGCGATGATCGCTTTATTGTTGGCGTTGGTCCACATACAGACACATAAGGGAATTGCATTCTCGTTACGTATGCACAGCGTATGGCCGAGTGTTCGACCCGAGCGTTGTCATTATCGTCGCGATTATGCATATTCAGATAAGCAATCAACACCATTGAGGCAGCGGGCAAGGGTCGCGCAGTCTGAAACGAGGATTACTCGAGAGCTGCAAGCGGAAACATAGAGAAAGGATCCTAAATAACGTCTTCCTTCTTCAAAAACTATGTAGAAAATTTCAACAAAAAAAATAGATAAAACAGATAAAGATAGAACACTGCAGGATCCATAAATACGAAAATTTCCGAAAGAAACAAAATTATATTTAATATTATATGAATTGAAAAATCGTTTTCGTATTTTTTATACCTTCTTTTTAACGACTCTAGTAATTATGACTTTCACGTTTAAATTCTTATCTCTTTAGTCCAACACGACTCTTTCAATTCCTGAAAAGGCATTCTCCGAAAACGACGGCTGTAAGGACGTTTAATAACCGGGCCAACATTATCCTAGAAATTGCTTAGCGGCCGCCTGACGCGAGCCAGCCTCGCAATTTCGTTCTTGGAAGGAGCTACTAAATCCTGAGGAAAAGTGTCCTCGCTGGCGTATCGTCGTCAGTCAGATCGCATAATCGGCGATTTTTTTCTCCTAGACGAGCTGACGTATCGCGTAAGTAGAAAAAGGCCATGAGAAAAGACGAGAAGACGAACGACTGTAGAAGAGAATGAAATATACACTGTGTCTTAGATATTCTTATTAGAGGGAGAGAAAAAAGAGAAAATTTTGAAATTATCAAAACGTGAAATTGGATGTGCCTTCCAACAAGCGACACAATACAACACAGTGATCATCTTATCTTTATTTAACATTGACAAACAACAAGGATATAATGATCTAATGTGTCACACCGTGTTATCTATGTCGCTTGTTAGAAGGCACACTCAAAGACAGAGAATGGACTGCGCGATCCGTATCTAAGTAATATATCAAATGTGGTCGTCAAAATGAGAGAGAGGGACCGTGGGAGACGGCCAATTTCCCTCTCATTCTCTCTCCTATTACACCATTGAATGGAAAGAGATAGAAATGGCCATCTGCCACGGTCCCTCTCTCTCATCCCTATCGACCATTTTCACACATGGATCCATTCTCTATGCTTTGGGCATACTAGATAAGTAGAATGAGAGACATAAGAGATAAAACATATCTTAAAAAGTTTTTATATATGTTAAGGCTCCTGAGTATATATATACTCAGTCCAGCCATATTGAATCGTGACGTCATAAGCAAGAAAAGCATCATAAGTGGCACGTTGATTTTTCTTGCACGCAATTTGTAAATAAAGAGAATTTGAATAAAATGATGAGATCGCTTTAAAACACTTGTAAAAATGGACGAAAACTATCCTTATCTCCCTTGAGTCAGTAAGTAGTCGTAAAAGACACGTAAAGTGTGTTCACTAGTTTTTACTCAATGTGCATGCATAGTCTATTTTCACTTCACGAGCCTTTTTCAACTCTTTACTGACTATCTGGGGAGATAAGGAGAGTCTTCGTCCATTTTTGCAAGTATTTTAAAGCGATCTTAACATTTCATTTCATCCAAATTCTCTTTATTTACAAATAGTATGCAAGAAAAATCAACGTGTCATTTCTCGCTTATGACGTCACCGGTCACAATTCAATATGGCTAAAGTGCCTATTCAGGAGTCTTAACATCAAGATATATATATATTTTTAAATTAAAGATATATATATATCTTTAAATTGATAATTAAAAATAAAAGAATCAACCTTTAGAAATAATGAATAATAAAAAGAGAAGGTATTCCTTATCTAATGTTACACGAATGTCTTAAAATCGTTTTCAGTCTGCACTTACAGAGGCACTTAATGTTAAAAATAGCAAGACCGTGAAGTAGAAATTCGCTGAAAAATCTGCGACTAACGCAGAGGGCACGTGATAGCTCGGGCACCCGGTATAACGTTTTAATTTCGCGGAAAATCTGACGATGTAATTTCTGGAGTAGGGCGACGCCCGGCAATTGTTTCAGCCGGCTTTCACCCCCCGCATTATTCATGAGTCGACCCATCCTTTTTTCGCAAACAAGAAGAACGACGGTCCTTCTTCTCCAGTTCTGCTGGTTCCTTCTCCTTGTCCGATTCTTTTTCTTTTCCCTCCGGAGATGATCATTTTTGTGAAACCTTCAGTTCATAGGCATTCGGACATTATTAGCCTTTGCATTAACCCCAAAAGAGATCAATAATCCTCTTATTCTTATATAATTCTCAATTCTTTATATGAGATCTGAAAGAATTTAGAATTATAAAGAAAGAAGATCGTTGAAAGATAATAAGTATACTTTACACACATTTTTGTGACCATAACATCAAGACTAAATTTAATATACGAAAATAATGGAAATAATAAAAAAAAATTGCAAACGGTTTAATATAAACTATGTTAAGCATAATACCATTCATTTGTTTTGAATACGAAACTTTAGTATGCGGTTTCACTCTATTTGTAAATACTTTCATAATGCTCCACGATTTGCATCAATGTGTGTTCCTTTATAAAAGCGTGCACGCACATACAGCATTCTAATAAAAGATATATTAATTTACATATTGTTTACAAATGATGCCTTGTATCGCGTGTTTACGCGGCTGCTATACAGTAGGTACGCAAATCCAAATTAGTTGTGAACCAATTTTAATTGCGCTAATTGTCATAATTTTCACGAAATTCTGGTCCACCACTGCGGATGCTGAGCAGCCTCGCACAGTTGCCGGAAATCGCCGTAATTCGGAACGAGTAATACTCGGAGAATAGCATTTTCCATCCTCCGTAGAATTCCATAATGGTATATATCACCTCTCATAATTCCCTGGGAAACTTTATGACCCTTTTTCCGCGAGACACAATATAAAACATAAAAATAAATGGGCCGATTCATAAATTATAATAAGGAGAAGCAATGTTTATGATAATAAAGCAAAATTTATCATAAAAGTATCTAAACTGTTTCTTACAATTTTATAATAAGCATCGTACATTTTATTATTTATATTTTATCTTATATAGTAAATATATATCTTATGATAAATATATAAACAATTTATAAATCTTTTTCTTACCGAACTTACAGCATAAAATTGGCTGCTATTTTCTGATGCACTCAATATAATTTTATCGTGTATCGCTAACGTTATAACTAACGTTATATCCTTCTTAGTTCTTATGTTTTATTCCTATATATCTCATCGAATCCCGGGATTCTAAAGAAGCTGAAGAAGCCGCAAAGGATATCGCCTCGAGCTTTCCTTTCCACTTTCGCATATTTCCATCAGGTAAAGGCCGGATGAGAATCCCGAAGAGGCCCATTTGTTCCGTGCACCGCGTACTTAAATCCCTGTTGCACTTGCCAAAGGGTTCCATATTGCGTCTTACTTTGATTGGAAAGCTTTTATTTCCCTGTATTTTCGTCACGTTTCTCTTTCTCGATTTATAACGAAAGAATTTTTAAACGTTACATGCTATCTGTTTATAAAATTCATTAATTATATTTTTATATTATTTTTAATACGTTAAATTCTTATTAATGTGTTATAACAAAGGAATGTCTCTGATTATTAATTTTGGATACAACATTATTAATACTTCCAACGATAAATGAATAACGATATTTCTATTGGAGATTTAAACATTTCTGAGTGCAGTCAAGCATTTACTATTCACGAATAGCGTTTACATGCTAATAGACGTTTACGAACGATCGATCGGTGCAGCTTCCTCAGTAGTTGCGACCTCGCCAAGGCATTTCGTATCGTGACAAGTTAAATTAATAAGCCGTACATCGTAGTCGAGAGTGCAGGCTTTATTCAGTCGAACGGCGAGAAGACGTCATAGTGCGACGCGTGGCTATTGCAATTCCTGCCAGAGTCTCGTTAGCGGTGCAGTTAGCAATGTACAGCTTCGCAAACGAGGCGAACCGCAATCCTAAAGCGTTACGATTTCTCCCTTCGAGGAGTGCGGGCAAAAGGGCTGACGCGGAAATAGCTAGCACGTAGCGAACGCGACTCCTTTTGGTCCTGTCGCCGCAGGATAATCAGTCTAGGAAAGCGTCCTTTCATTACTCGTGTAAACACATATTAGAACACCTTTTCCACATCGATGCATTTTCTTCGATATCATAAACGACGTTCATCAATTTTATGGGTTACAAATAACAAAAGATGAAATAAGAAATTTTGTGTAACTTTGTAATCGAATAATTTTATTAAACTAAATGTATTGAATTTTTAATACAAATGATTTCTTATAAAACAATTTCTAAGTGTTTAAAGGAAAAAAAAGGTTAATATACATGAGCCTTAAATGCGTCTTAAATAAAAATTTCTCATTTATAATATAATAATTATTATCGATTTTATTTCGATACGAAAATCTCATGCATAAAATAAAAGAACTGCACTAAAACTATATATTCAATAAAAATTATTGAAATATTTGATCTCATAATAAGAGGAATACAAAGATAGCTGATTTTTTTTATTTCTCATCCGCCCCCGACAATCTGATACTTTAGATATTCATCATTTTATTAAAATTTTTCCATGAAAATATCTTAGATACTAATTTTATACATTTTATCTTTAGTATTTTATTAACATTTGTAATATAATTTTGCAATCGATATTATTTCATAAAGGATATAAAAACGTTAAAAAATTATTGAATACAGATACTCTAGAAGATTAAGGATTTGAAACTAAATATTTTCTTCAGAAATAAAGGGATAATAACTCATGAAATAATTTTGTTCTTTAGTATTAATATGTTACTATATTTTTACATAAATTTCAGATTAATATAAATAATCAGTTAGTAAATACTAGAGAAATTAATTAGCATTCATAGATTTTGGTAGATAATTATATCATTTTCAAATACATATTATAAAATATATAATTAAAGAAATTAAATTTATATAGTAAATAAAAATTACCTGGAGTTGTTGCCATTATAAATTTCAGAGACTTAGCAAACCTTGAACAAAATAAATTCTGTATTAGTTATTGAACGATATTATCTATCTTACATATTTTGCTAAACTTTATGATATCAGAAGTAGCAAATTGAAATATCATAGCTAATCACAATATTAATTAGCATTCATAGATCTTGGTGATAGTAAATAGCATCATTTAATTTAAAATATAATTTAAAATTTAAGGTAATATAGAAAAATATAAAATAAAAGAACTATACTAAAACTATACATTCAATAAAAAAAATTATTGGAATGTATTGATCCCATAATAAGTAAAAGGAATATAGAGTTCTAATTTTTTATTTCTCATCCGTTTCCTTAAAGAAGCAATCTGGTACTTTAGAGATTCACCATATTTTAATTAAAAATTTTCCATGAAAATAATATCTTAAATATTAATTTTAGACATTCTGTCTTTAGTATTTTATTAACATTTGTAATTTAATTTTGCAATTGATATTTCATAAATGATATAAAAGCGTTGAAAAATTATTGAATAAGGATACTAGAAGATTAAGGATTTGAAACTAAATATTTTTTTCAGAAAATAAAAGGATAATATTTCATGAAATAATTTTGTTCTCTAATATTAATATGTTACTATATTTTTACATAAATTTCAGATTAATATAAATAATCAGTTAATAAATACTAAAGAAATTAATTAGCATTCATAGATCTTGGTAGATAATTATTATTTTCAAAAACATATAAAATATATAATTAAAGAAATTAAATTTATATAGTAAATGAAAAAATTACCTGGAGTTGTTGCCATTATAAATTTCAGAGACCAAGCAAACCTTGAACAAAATACATTCTGTATTAGTTATTGAACAATATTATCTATCTTATATATTTTGTTAAACTTTATATCAGAAGTAGCAAATTGAAATATCATGGCTAATCAGAGCACTAATTAGCATTCATAGATCTTGGTGATAGTAAATAGCATCATTTAATTTAAAATATAATTTAAAATTTAAGATAATATGAACAAATATATAAATACCTTCATTTCGCACAAGGTACTGCTTTACTCGTGAATTACAGGCAACCTAAACAATAAAATAATTTTATTAGTAAGGATTATTATTTTCTATTAAAATTGTTTTTTCAGGCTGATTTAAATAATGATCAGTTGGCTAAATACTATGCAAATCATGGTGTTCATAGATCTCGATGATTACACATCATTTTCGACATTTATGTAATAAAACAAATGTTTTTCAATCAAAAGCAAATAATGTAAATTGTAATACATTAAAACAAAGAATTTCAAAAAGCTAAACCACATTTATGTCAGAACATGTATCCTTGTATAGACGATAGATTATATGCATGCAAAGATCATAAAAGACAGTTATTTCTAAATAATATTATATTGCGAAGACGTTTAATAATTTAGAATATATCATAATTGTAAAACACATATTCTGACACAGCGGATTACTGAGAAAAAACTCGATAATAAAGATCAAGCTATATTCATCAATACTTACCACGTGTAGCGTAGAATCAACCATAATGCACAGCGAGAAGAAACGGAAGAAGAATGACTGTCGAGTGTCGATCGACTATCGAATTGGTGTGAAATTTTTCAAGATGGCGAGGAGAAAGTCAGCGACTATACTATACATAGAAGGAATATAGTCTTCGATCTCAACGCCACAAACGGCATGATATAGAATTAAATTTTGACGCAAATTTTAAAACCTTTGGTTTAAAGTTTCAAAGTTTAATTAAAAAATGGCAATTTTTAATGACCATCCACAGTATCCATTCCATTTCTCAAATTTGACAGTTATTATCCGTCTAGCACTTACTAATCAATTTTTACATGAATGTAGCATATTTCTAGACTAAAATAAAATACTAATTTATATGATGAAAGCACTAAATTTGCGGTTTTCTCATTTGATCAATGACATTTAATTTTAAACAATGTGGAATTAAAACAAATCAACAAAACATTCATACGAAATGACGCTTTCGCATGGCATCAAGAAACCCGAATGCGCAATTCGCTAATTTAAACACAATGCGTCATATTTGTTGACCACCAATGACCAATGTTTTTCTTCATTCAACATCAGAAACTGTGTCAACAACATGGCGTATCGCTAATCACACTCTCGTGTCCTTTTCATGTAATCATCTATACATACATCCCCTCTCCTGGGTAGATATTTCACACCCAATTATTTCCTACTCTGTCCTACTCCATGGAATAATGCGGAATAATGTCAAATGAATTTTTAACATACACAAATCACAGGAAGCCCTCCAGATGTGTACATAAATTGACATGCAAATGTGCGATCGACACGTGAAGACAGAGATATCTGTCGGCGCTTTCTCCCTCTAAGCGAGCACTTATCCGCTCGGGAAGACGGGAACGATGCGCGGAGTGCCTGGCGTGGAAAAGGAACCGAAGAAAGGCATGTCTTTTCACACCATGCGCAAAGTGATCTTCTTCCAGTAGTTCCAGTAGTTCCAGTGTCAAAGCTCGTCGGCGACGCAACGTCACGCGACGCAACGCCGCTACGGGAGTACCGTGTCATGCACGGCCCGGATAGGCCTTGCCGTACGTTTCGCTACCTTTCGCCAGCGCTGTCGGCTGTCGTTACGAAGGCGCAAGGTGCGCAAGGTGCACGCGGGACGAAGACTATGAGCGCGTTGTCGACCTGTATAACATCTGTGACGACTATCGGATTGCCGTCTCTACGGTCGCGGCTTGTCGCCGCCACCGCCAACGCGAACACGAGAATGACTTAAGCCAGCTTGCTGCCGAATCATAACGTGGATGATAAGGAACTATCTCGGTATACGATGCAGAACCTACGTCGGATGTGCTGGCTGTTTTGGGTGGGTCTACCGATGCTTGCAGCCTACCCTGTACCCTCGCCGCTTGTCGCTGGTACGTCGTTCGCGAGTACACGCCATTGTCATGAATGTCAATTGACCTGCTGTTTCTTAAATTCTATCACATATGTGCATATGCGTACCCAGTTCTACAGACAGGAGAGTTTAAATGTTGCTTTCCTCCTTTTTTATTTTTTCAAAGGAAAAGAAATAAACTGCTGGTGGTATTGACAAACAAAAATGTAGAATGCTTTCCATTTGTGACACAAGTTGACACAAGTTGTCATTGTCGTGTTACTCACGGAATGCCAAGAAAGAAAAAATATTTGTGTCATTAAATGAAAAGCCTCCATATATAAGTCTGTTCTTTGTGGTTAAACTAGTATAACTTGTTATATTTAAAAAGAAATAGTGAAACATAAATTTGAAGTTTGATGAAAGTATAGATAGAAAGTTTTAATACAGTCCAGTGTAGCAACAAAAAACAGGCTTTGTAGTAACGATACTAAATATTAGAGTTAGCATTGAATATTTTTATTTTTGTCGTAGATTCATCACAAGGACGTGCTTCCTGGCAATGGGAACATTATTGGATGCGTTATGCGATTGCTCTGTCGAGCGTCACCGCCACGGCATTAACTTTAGCTGGATGTCTTTGTTGCCAAAGACATAGAAGACCCAAAGGATTTCAGGTAATTTGGAGAGATTTTTATACTTAATTTTTCGTACCTAAGAAACATAGAAAAAGTAACGTTTTCGAACTCTACATTGTTTTTGAACTCTAACACCAATCTGCATTTTTTAATTATAGGACAAAGCAGAAAAATACAATCAGGTAACATTGATGTTGCAGGTCCCTTATTTGTTGCCACATAAATTACCAGTTAGAACGAGAATGTAAACAAAATTAATGTTTGACTAATCTTAAAAGTGGTACAGATTCTATCTATGAAGATTCTGTATCCATAAATTATTATTAATATATATGTATATATATCAATAATATTTTATATGTATTCCTAAATAATGAAAAAATTGTTTCTTATTTAGATTATATTTGATAAGTTCTTATAGATAGAGTTTAGTACTGTTAGTACATATAAATAGTGCATATATTACTGTAGGGTTAGATCTTTATAATTTAATGATACCTCTTTGAATTTTAAAGAGATGATTTGATTATATGTTTTATAATTCTAAATTATTAGAAACGTCCTAAGTTTTTAACTCCTTTTTAAATATGTTTATAAGCAGCATGCGTAGTACATTAGCAAGAAATCTTTATGTCTGTATCATAGCATGCTATAATTATACAAAAGCATATAAAACGACACTGTTATATCGTTATAGGAATTCAAGGATGGAAGCAGTACAGGACAAGAAAATGCATTCGATCACTCTGTCGAAGGATTGGAATTAGACGCCTCCAGAACGTTAGCCGCTTCCGAAAGGGTTCAGTTTGAACCCTTACCAGTGGATTCGATCGTATCTGGAACTAGAAGTGTTCCGAAACATAAAGCAATACCTTTGTCAGCACCGCGTATCGAGGATCAAGATACGGATTACTCTATTCTACAAGAACCATGTAGCGAATGGTTTAACTCCAACGAGCTTTATGTTCCCAGAGAGAAACTCAAATATCTTAGGGAAATAGGTCATGGATGGTTTGGAAAAGTCGTTGAAGGTCGAGCAGATTTAGAACAGTCTAAAGGCATATCGAAATCAGGCGGCGTAGTAGTAAGAATTCTCACCGAAGAAGCTACTACTAGAGAAAAGGTTTGGTTTCTTGGCGAGGCCACGCCGTACTTAAAACTACGTCACCAAAATGTCTTAGCTTTACTTGGATTTTGTTTAGAAACCGATCCGTACCTTTTACTGTTTGAATCGTGTCCAGCTGGCGATTTAAAAGGTTTCTTGCTTTCAAACCGCGATAGCAAGTCAAGAGAAGCACTTGCCAAGGAAAATATTCCAATACGAATTGCGATAGATATTGCATCTGGTTTAAAACACATGCATAGTCATGGCTTCGCGCATACGGATCTCTCTGCAAGAAACTGTTTGGTTGCTCCAGATTTATCAGCCAAGTTAGGTGATTACGGTACCGGTGTAGAGAAATATCCCGAGGACTATTACATAGTAGGAGACCGAGCCTTACCCATCAGATGGTCCGCGCCAGAAAGTTTGAACTGTACGGACACTACCATCGAAACGCAAGAAATCACGTTACAAGCCAATATGTGGAGTTACGCGGTTCTCCTTTGGGAGATCGCTAGTTGGGGAGAAAGACCTTACAACGATATGAACGACGAACAGGTTATTCAGATGATTCTATCTCTGAAAAATCAATTTGTCCCAAACGGCACGAAACTGCTGCAAAATTATCTTACTAATTGTCCGCCAAATATATTTCAAATGATTCGCTTGTGTTTGAATGTCAATGCAAAAGACAGACCTTCCTTGGATGATGTAAAGCTGATTCTCCTAAATGAACAATCGGCACACATAGATTTTGAGCAACGATGGGAAAGTCTACGCGCGAATACTTGCAAACAGCATGTACGCAGTGCTAGCTTACAAGATCTGCGTGGTAGTATCGATTCCGACTACTGGACTCATATCGTGGATGACACACAAACGACAGACTCATTACAGTCTTCGTTTCGTCTTGGACCCGACGAACAAGTGAGGAACATTCCCAAAATGAGAACTGCCACGATATTTCAAGAATCTGGCTCGGAAACCGAGGAAGAAAGCTGGAAGGGTCGAATCGAGCAGGGTGTATATACTGAAAAAGTCAAACAGAAGTCCAAGTCTGTAACAGATCTTATGGTGCTTGTACATATCGATCCTGATTCCGACGCAGAATGGTCAATGGGAGCGCAAACGTCGGAGAAGAACGTTAAAAAGAAGTTATCTGTGACCGGTAGTGATAGCGACCTTAGACATACTGTGCCTGCGGAGGAGTTTGATGAAGCATTGAAGAAGTTACGAGATCCTTTACCGAGCAACGCTACCAATAAAATCTGGTCCGTAGAAAATATACAACAGCCAAAGGTCTTAACTTTGACTACAGATCAAAGTCAGATGCCGATCTTACGTCTCTCTTTGGACAGTACGACAAAAACTCCGGAAAATAACAATATCGCGCAATCTAACGCAAGTGTGAGTAGTAAGCAGCGCGGCAGTGAAAAACATGTATTAAGACTCTTGTCGAATGGGGATTCGGACGTCCCTCTTCTTCGCTATGTACCTGACCAAACATTTTCCGATGAAGAAGTAGAGCAGAAGGAGGACCATGAAATGCGCGATATACCCCTCGTCAATAAAGGGGATAACAACGATATTCCTAATGTGAAAGATGTTGAGACCAACACAGTAGACGTTTTACTTTGGAATCACGCGTTAGATTCCGCTTTACAACACAAAGTACCAGGCTTCTCAGATGAAGCAGAATTCAACGAATACATAAACGCATCGACTGAGCAAAGTAATACTAGTGCACCAGAAGTGACTACGTCTACGCCAGATGCACCACAGTTTTGTAACACCTATTCAATTTATACCACCGATGATAGTTTTTCTATTGTAGAAAATGCAGAAATAGAACGAAAACCATTGCCAAATGATGATGAGGAGGAGAGAAAGCAATTATCCACGCCGGATGATGAACAAAGTTCCGATTCCGGTTTTCGAGATAAAGAATCTTACGAGGAAGAGGAAGCAGTTTGTTCA